CCTGGCGACGGCGCACGTCGTGCTGTGTCAGGAGCAAAAGCTCATCACCAACGAGGACCGCCGCAAGGCCGAGGCTTGGCGTGTCCGAAACGGATGGAAATCTCATTTTGAGCCAGGATGCCTGGGGCCTGGAGGAGGCCCGTCCGCGGGAGTCGGGATCCTGGCCCGAGCTTTTCTGGGATTGCACTACCCCGACTTTGGACCCTGTCTGCGAAATCATCGGGCTGTCGGGGCCCTGGTTCACCTCCCTGGCCAGGCCAGCTTCTACGTTGTGAGTGCTTATCTCCAGGATTGCGTCGGTTTGAACGAAACCAACAGGGATATTTTGGGCTGTGTCGCGTCCAGGGCGAAAAGCTTGGACGTCACTTTTATCATAGGCGGTGATTTCAACATGGAGCCTTCTGTGTTGTGCTCCTCTTTAGTCCCTGCCAGGCTTGGGGCTGATGTTTGCTATCCTGCAGGTGTGGTGGGCACCTGTCGGTCCACTGGGGGTATTAAAATGTACGATTATAAGTTGGTCGAGGCGCGAGTGGCAAGCGATTGAGAGCGTGAAGATAATCAGTGATTCGGACCTTGCCACCCATGATCCTGTCGCCGTGAAACTTCACCCGCAACTCGCTTCCCGCCGTGCCCTCACCTTCAGGACCCCCCCCCCCCCACCCCCCACCCCCTTCCCACCAACTGCCCCCCTGGCCCTTTTCCCGAGCCCCCTACACAATGGGGGTTTCTTTCCAAGATGGCTTCTCGTGCTCTTGCTGCGGCCGAGAATGGACGATTGGACCAGACTCAGTTCAACATTGATGTTCTTCATCGGGAATGGGGAATGGCCGCTGAGCAAGAGCTCGAGTCTGTGTTTCAGGTGACCCTGCCGTTCCGAGGCAGCAGAGGCCGTCAGCCGCAGCTGCACTGGATCAGTGTCGTCGACGCGTCGCACACTTCGATGGCTGGCACCTCCAGCACGTCGAGGGAGGCCTCGCGACTCAGATGGCTCTGCAGCAGGTACTGGCTTTGGCTTCAGCTGATAGGTCCGGGAATTCAAACCTAGGACCTGAAGTCTAAGCCTCACTCCTCCCCGCCCTTTGCTCGTAGCAGTCTCGAAAAGCATGGTCTCAGTACTGGGAGCACGAGCTCCCTTGGCGGTGTGGCCTCCATTTACCCTGAGCAGCGCAGACAGCAGCATCTGCGTGACACGGCGGATGAGCTGCTTCACCCCCCCTCTCGGCTTGGCCCGTGGGATGGAGATACCCGCGCCCGCCTGCAGGCCGTGCAGGAGATTGTCAGTGTTAGCCCGCTCGATTGTTGTGACATCCAAGGGGAACCTATGAGGGCCCTCGATATGGCCCCCCCAGGCCCTGGCTGACACGGAGAGCGCGGCCGGGCAGGGAGATCATAAGCAGCGGTTGGATTGGATCCGTCACAACATAGAGAACGGGGCTCGTCATGCTCACGGAGTTGTTCGGGGGGCCTCGGGTTTGACGCCGACTACCACCTTGAGCGCTAAAGGGGAGGTGGTCTCGGACCCTGGTGCCCTACTGTCCTCCGAGCTCGAGAAATTCTCGCGCATTTGGCTTGCGGAACCCCAGTCTGATGCACCCCAGAGAGGTGCTGTGTTTGATGTTTTGGAACCCCTCCCTGTCCCGTCGGTGGAGGACCTCCGTCGAGTTCCTCGCTCATTCCCCAAGCATACGGCTTCGTCGGTTGATGGGTTCCACGTCTCGCATTTCCAGCATTTATCGGGTCATGCCTTGGGCACCTTATTGATCATGATCTCGATCTGGTTGCGATCGGGGCTGCTCCCTGGCCAGATGAAGGTCGTGATTCTTGTCCTGCTTTCCAAACCCAACGGTGGGCACCGCCCGATCGGCTTGTTCGTCTCGATCTACCGCATTTGGGCTAGGGCTCGTCGGTCGTGCGCCCGCCAATGGGAAGCTGACAATGCCCGTGAGTTTTTCTGCGCTGGCGCGTTTGCCTCTAGTGTCGATGCTGTCTGGAGGCAAGGGGTCAGGAGTGAGGTCGCGGTCGCGTCCCAGGATTGCTCGTCGTCGGTGCTCTGGGATCTTCTCAAGTTCTACGAATCCGTCGACCTCGGCTTTCTCCTTGCCCGATGCCGCCAGCATGGCTTTCCTATGCAGATTGCGCGTGTTTGCTACACGGCGTGCCGCGCCTGCAGATATATGGCTATGAATGGCCGCGTTGACGGCCCACGATTTGCATGGCGAGGGCTCGTTACTGGATGTGGTTTCGCGACCACGCTGATTCGCGTCTTCGCGCTTGCGGCCTTAGACGGCCTTAGTCTTCCCAGATCGGTGTCGTTGCGAGTTTACATCGAAGATTACACCTTGTCGTGCGCAGGTCGTCCCAGAGCGGTCGTCCAGGATCTCCTAGAAGGTTCGGTTAAGTTGCAGACTGTCGTCGGGTCCGATCTGGGATGCGCCATCTTTGTCAGCAAGGCGGCTGTGATCGCCTCGGAGCCTGTTGTTGCTAAGGAGATCCGCCGAGGCCTTGGTGCTGTCGGTGGCCTTCCGTGCGTTTCTGCCGTCAACCTCGGCATTGGCGATGCTGCGGGGAAACCAAGGAGGATGGCTAGGAGAGGAGGAAAGGTTCTGGTTCGGAAACCTGATTTCAAGAGGAAGGCTCACAGACTTGGAGCGCATCGCTCATCCTTGGGGCGACACGCCAAGCGCGTTTTCACTAGTGGTCCCCTTCCTAGTCGGAGCTATGGTTGCGAGGTGCACGGCACCTCGGACCATGAGTTGGCTGCCCTCCGCAGGTCGCTCGGGCGCTTCTTGAGCCCCACGGCTGGAGGACGTTCTCTCACCGCAGCTTTGCTGTTTGCCGCCGACCCCACGTGGCACTGCGCGGTGGCTCCTATTGTGCGGTGGTCTAAGGAAGTTTGGGCCAGCCTTACTGGAGCTTTCGGTTTCGGCCTGAGTCTGGCCGAGTTGCGGAGGTCCTGGGAGGCCGTGTTCTCTGGGCCCTCCCCCACGTGGAGGAAGGTGGGCGGCCCTATTGGGGCCATGAGGTTGTCGGTGGAGCGTCTCGGGTGGCACATGCCGTCGTTCACTTTGTTGGTCGACGACGTGGGGGTTGAGGTCTCATTAACCTTGGTCTCGCCTGCCCTCCTGAAACGACTCCTCCGACGTGCTGTTTTGCGTTTCCACGAACGAGCGTACGGGGACAGCCTTGGTCTCAACAGGAGAGCGTGCCTGGATGTGCCCTTGGCGGCCATGTCGTCCAGCAAGTTCACCCCGTGGGAAAAAGGCTGTATCCGTGGTCTGGTTTGTCAGGCCCTTTGGACTAAATGCCGCGCGGCGGAGCACGGATATATTCTCCCCGACGTGCTTTGTCCCATGTGCGGCCTGGAACAGGACGCGATGTTCCATCGGCTGTGGATGTGTCAGAGCCAGCGGCCTCGTGTGCTTCGCCAAGGGCTACTTGGCGACGGTTTTCAACACGCCCCCCTGCCTTGGGAGGATCTCAGTGTGCACGACCAAGTATTGTACACGTACGGGATCATGTCTCATCCTGGGGATTTCTTTCCTGCACCTACTAGGGCTGAGCCTATAGTTCATCATGTGTGTGTGACCCTGAGCGTGATGACTATCATGTTAGAGGGAATATATTCATGGACGGGTCCTGCATTCGTTCGGTCATAAATGAGCTGTCACGCACGGGCTGGTCGTATGTGTCGGTCTCTGATTATGGGCAAGAGTTGGGACAGGTGTACGCTCCTCTCGCTGTCCCCATCCCTCAGACAGCGCAGGCAGGTGAGTTTGCTGCATGCACTGCAGCTTGTCAGAATGCGCTTGAGGGCTCGGTCGGCTTTAGCGACTGCCAGAACGTCGTCCAGCTCTGGTCGTTGCCCTGAGCCGGACACCTCTCGTTTAATCGCGTGTACGCTGGAATGTTCATCTGGACTGCGGATTCACAGATGGGTCCCATCCTTAAGGTCAAAGGGCACATGACCGAGGATGACGTTGCTGGTGACGACCGTTTAACTTTTTACAAGGCGGGTAATGACCTCGCCGATCATTATGCTAAGCTGGGGGCCTTGGCGCATGAGAAGCCTAGCACTGAGCAGTCTGAGTGGCTCGATCGAGCCCTTTCCGTTTCGCGTAAAGTTTGTGTGTTCGCTGCCAGATTGCTCCAGCTGTGGCCGGCCTGTGATTTGTCGCAGGCCACTCGAGCGCAGAAGGAGCCAGTGTTTCCAGTGCCCAAGGCTTGCCACTCCTGGGTTTTTACGGACACGTTTTGGCAGTGCAAGCAATGTTTGAGGGTCTCCAGGCGTTGCTGGCCCCCGAACGGTGTATGCTCTATTAGCCACAAACTCTACGACACCAAGCTCATTGAGATGGGTCACAAGTGGATTGCTTTGTCCTGCTCTGACGGCAGTGCGGTCTGCATATGCCTGAAGTGCAAGGCGTTTTCGACGGGCGGGTACGTGCGCTATTTGAACCTGCGTTGCAATGGTAAGCCGCATTGCCCCCGTTCGTCTCAACACTATTGGAACCGTATCATTGCTGGCAAGCACCCGAAGAGCGATAGGATTTGGCTCGACGTGGATGCTCTCAGCGTGGCATGGTTGTTTGATTAGTCGACGCTCGACGGGCTGGTCTCCTGGCATCGGCCACGGGGGCATGGCCCTGTCGTGTGGCCCGTCTTTGCGGGCAGCTCCGCATGCATGAATATTCTGTGCGGAGCTCGTCTATCTGATCAAGTGTCGGGCTCGACGACTGCCTGGCTGGCTGCCAGGAGGACCGCGAAGAATCGGGGCAGAGCAGTGCAGCGGCAAAAATCCTCCTCCTCCTTACCTCCTCCTCCTCCTCCCTCCTCCTCCTCCCCTCCTCCTCCTCCTCCTCCTCCTCCTCCTCCTCCTCCTCCTCCGCCTTCCTCCTCCTCCTCCTCCTCCTCCTCCTCCTCCTCCTCCCTCTCCCTCCTCCTCCTCCTCCTCCTCCTCCTCCTCCTCCTCCTCCCCGCCGCCCCCGCCTCCCGCGTCCGGAAGGTCTGGTGCCTGCGCCCCGCGCCCCCCTTCTGGCCCGAGCCGGGCGAGATGGGCGAGGCGGACGGCGCGGCTCGGCTGGGCGCACGGCGGTGGCCGGACAAAAAGTGTCCACACCCACGGCGGTAAGGCGACACATTATGATGACAACCACACCTGGGAAGTGCCTTTGCTTCGCCCCCCCCCCGAAATCAGAGCTGAGGTGTCCACATTTTGTCCCTTGCCTGCGGCCTGCCGCCCTGGTGGGGCGACGATATTTTGCAAGTTGTTCCTGACCGCGCGCGGCTGCACCTACATTGCGGCACCATCTCGACGAACAATCCCCGCCCCCTACATATCAATGTTGGCACCAAGCGAGCACCCCAAGTCCGGGTGGACAAAATAATGCAAGTAAACATTGAAATGTGGGGATGGGGGGGTCCTCAGAGATCGATGGAATCTGATCCTAGTTGGCACGCTGTTTATCATAATGCTCAGATAACTTGCGATATTTTGTCCACCGACTGCCACACCCGTCGACTCTGAATTTTGGGGAAGGGGGGTATACATTATGGTCCGATGTGCTTTAACAACTCAAGGTCTTGACGAGACACGTGTGGACACTTTTAGTCCACCCACCGGAGTGACCCTTTGCCAGAGTGGCCTTTGGTGCGGGCCCCTTGGGTTCAGTCGGGCATGTCCCTCTGCAGGAGGAATATTCAAAAATAGTCAACACATAATCTGGGAATGATTTCTGAGGATTTTGTTGACGATGTTTGGGTACTTTTCGAGTATTGTTAATTTTTCGCCCAAAAGCCGCCGGTAGGGGGACATGCCCCACCTAATCCTTGGGGCCCCTTGATCGCCGAATGTTATGCGATAGGAGCGTCTTGCGCGCTTCTGTTTGGTTTCCCCCGCGTCCCCCCAAAAAGCCGCGCACCAAAGGTCGCTCTTGCCCAGGGTCACTCTTGCGTGTACAGTCGGGGCGCTGAGGAAGAAACTTTGTTTGGGAGGGGCTCAGTGCTCCTTAGTCGTTCTACAGTTCGCCTTTGGTATGCCTTTGGTTTTCAATGGGAAATCGAAGCTTGACTTATGGAAGAAAGGGGCCTCGTTTCTTATTTGGGGTTCCTTAGGTCAACGCCCCGACTGTAGCCGAGAGGCGTGCGAGGACCACGAGGTCGGGCCCTGGCTGGACTTCGAGGATCGGGCGAACGGCCGCGGGGGGGAAGCTTTGGGTTCGAGGCCCGAGGTTTTCGAGCTTTCTCGTCGTTTCTCGGCGGTGTTTCATATTTTCCACATTCGTGATCCGTCTGCGCCCCTCTTGCCTCTCTTGTCTCCTCCTACTCCGCACAGGCACTGAATCGCCATGCGTCTGGTGCAGCATGTTCCCGGTCCTCTCAGAGGGCCAGCGCGCTACGGGCGCGCCTGCCTCCCTTGCAGGGACGCCGGCCCTTCCCGGCGACGGCAGCTTCGTTCGTTCGTTCGTTCGGCGGTGTTCCAGCCTCGGGATGCTTGCCAGCAGCCGCGCCTCGCCGAGGTCGTTCCGGGGGTGCCTGGCTCGTCCCGAACGGCAGCCGGAGACTCGAGCTATGGCCACCCAAAAACCAAGTTCCGCGGCGCGCTCGGCGGTCGAACCGAAGGCGACGACGCGACGACAGGGGCGAATAGCCCAGGGGCGGGCATTGCGCGCATTCGCCTGGGAGCCTCGCCGGAGACATGGGTCCAGGCCTCCTAGATGGGGTCGGAGTAGATGGGTCGGAGGATCGCGCCGCATCGCCGATGCATCGACGATGCATCAGCGGTGCGGCTCGATGTGGGGCCCAATTTTCACCACGCCGACGTCGCCGATGCATCGCAAGCGTCGCCAGTGCATGGCCGATGCATCGCCGATGTAGCGGCGACGCGGCGAGATCCTCCGACCCCATCGGCTCCCCTGGAGGAGGAGGAAAAGGAGGAGGAGGAGGAGGAGGAAGAGGAAGAGGAGGAGGAGGAGGATGAGGAGGATGCATGCCTGGTTCCCCCCCTGGCCTATGCGCCCCCGTCGTCGCCCCCGATGTCGATGGCCGCAGGAGAGCGGCCCGCTCGGGGCCCCTCTCGGGCCCCTGAGCAGGGCATCCTTTTCGGGCCGCTTGGGCCCAGAAGGTGCACGAAAGGTGCGCACTTTTTCGACCCCCCGCTGTCGTCGTCGTCGTCGTCGTCGTCGTCGTCGTCGTCGTCGTCGTCGTCGTCGTCGCCGTCGCCGTCGCCGTCGCCGTCGCCGTCGCCGTCGCCGTCGCCGTCGCCGTCGCCGTCGCCGTCGCCGTCGCCGTCGCCGTCGCCGTCGCCGTCGCCGCCGCCGCCATCGTCGTCATCTTTGTCGTCGTCGTTGTTGTCGTCGTCGTCGTCGTCGTGCCTTCGTAGTGCCGTCGTCGTCGTCGCCGTCGTCGTCGTCGTCGTCGTCGTCGTCGTCGCCGACCCCCGTTTTCCACCCCCCGCGAACGAGCACATGAACGGACATGATCCTGACTTCCCGCGTGCTGATGCGCGCCCTCTCCGCGGGGGAATTCCCCCTCCTTCCTCATTCCTTCCCCTCCCATCCCCACCCCCGATTCCCCGTCGCCTGCGCCTGCAAGGACATGTTCCTGACCTCCCGCGTGCTGATGCGCGCCCTCTCCGAGCTCGTGGGTCTCCTGGGAGCCCTCGCGGGGCTGCTCCCGGAGGCAGCAGGGGGTGGCAGTTCCCCAAATCCCCCTTGACAAAAAAAAATAGTCACGTACCCAACCCTTTTCTAACACGTGGCAGCTACGTTAAGGACCGCTCAACACAAACGAACATGATGAAAGACGCTCACTTCGCACCCCCCAGGGAGCCACACAAGGTCTAGGCTGGGTCTGCGTGGACCTCCACTCCGCTGGACCTCCCCGGAGCCCACGAAAGTGGCGACAGCTGCGCAATTCGCGGCCACCGAGGGACCGCGAGGTGTCTGGGTCTGCGTGGACCTCCACTCCGCTGGACCTCCCGGGAGCCCACGAAAGTGGCGACAGCTGCGCAATTCGCAGACCCCCAGGGAGCCGCGATGTCTCAGCAGGTCCACGCGGACCTCCATTCCGCTGGACCTCCCGTGAGCCTACAAAAGTGGCGACAGTTGCGTATTTCCCAGCCCACGAGGGAGCTGCGAGGTCCCAACTGGATTCACGTACATCTCCACTCCGCTGGACCTCCCCGGAGTCCACGAAAGTGGCGACAGTTGCGCAATTCGCAGCCACGCAGGGAGCCGCGAGGTCCCAACTGGGTCCGCGTACCACTCCACTACGCTGGACCTCCCGGCATCCCACGGATGTGGCGACAGCTGCGCAATTCGCAGCCACACGCAGGGAGCGGGGGGGTCCCAACTGGATCCCCGTACAACTCCACGCTGCGGGACCTCCCAGGGGCCCACAAAAGTGGCGACAGCTGCGCACTTCGGACGCCCCCAGGGAGCCGCGAGGTCCCAACTGGGTCCGCGTACCTCTCCACTCCGCTGGACCTTCCAGGAGCCCACGAAAATGGCGACAGCTGCGCCATTCGCAGCCAACATCGAGGTCCCAATTGTGTCCGCGTACCACTCCACTCCGCTGGACCTCCCAGAAGCCCACGAAAGTGGCGACAGTTGCGCCATTCGCGGCCACCGAGGGACCGCGAGGTCTCAACTGGGTCCGCGTACCACTCCACTCCGCTGGACCCCCCAGGAGCCCACGAAAGTGGCGACAGCTGCACAATTCGCGGCCACGCAGGGAGCCGCGAGGTCCCAACTGGGTCCGCGTACCACTCCACTCCGCTGGACCTCCCAGGAGCCCACGAAAGTGGCGACAGCTGCGCACTTCGGACGCCCCCAGGGAGCTGCGAGGTCCAATCTGGGTCCGCGTACCACTCCACTCCGCTGGACCTCCCAGGAGCCCACGAAAGTGGCGACAGCTGCGCACTTCGGACGCCCCCAGGGAGCCGGGAGGTCCCAGCTGGGTCCGCGTACCACTCCGCTCCGCTGGACCTCCCAGGAGCCCACGAAAGTGGCGACAGCTGCGCACTTCGGAGCCCTTCAGGGACGCAAGCAGGACGAAGGAGCGAAGGGAGAAACAAGAGAGGGAGGAGTAGACAGGAGGCACGAAGTAGGAGGCAGGAGGCAGGAGGGGGAGGAGGAGGAGGAGGAGGAGGAGGAGGAGGAGGAGGAGGAGGAGGAGGAGGAGGAGGAGGAGGGAGGCTTGACCACAGTGCTGTATTCAAAACGAGAACCCAGCACAGGAGGGTTGGGAACAAAAATCCCTAACCCCCCTTGAGTGGGGGACAGGGGTGTTTTTTTTGTGCTTCCTACCCCCCCAAAAAAACCCTCGCACGTTTTTTTTTGGGAGGGTGGGAGGCTCTGGCGCCTGCTTGGCGTGATGGCGGCGTCGGCAGAGGTCGGCCGGGCCAGGCCTCTGATTCCCGACCACTGTTTTCTCCGGACGGGGTGCGATTGCCACCTCCCACTGTGGGGTGGGTGGGGACGCTCGAAAGAACAAGCATCGCCGCGCCGTCTGTTCCGACGCGCGGCCTCACGTTTTGGGGGGAGCGCCTCGGCCACCAGGGCAAACCCCGCCTCGGACGCAAGGTTCGCCCGGAGGCTTGCCGTGGCGTCGGCGGCGTCCACATGGGCGCGTCGAGCAACAAAAACGGCGCGGCGTCAAAATTTTGTTGCGGGTGAGGGTATGTTTTCTTTTAGACTCCGGCAAGTTTGTTTGCATGGACGGGGGGGGCTTGAACCTGAAGTAAGCCGCAAACGAATTGCACGTGCGGAAACCACGCAAGTCGAAAGGCACTTGCAGGCCAGTGCTCGTCTGACGAGGGGCGAGAGGGGGGGCCCGGGGGGGGAGCGCACGCCGTGCAAGTAAACTCGCCTTAATCTAAAGAAACGGGCTCTGGAGGGCCGCTTCCCCCCCCCAGGAGGAGACCGGCGGCTGCCGGAGGCGGATCAGCGGCACCGCCCAGGCCGCCGGGCTGCGCGAGGCGGCGGCGGCGGCCGCGGCGCGCCGCGCGCCGTGGCTGCGCGCGAGCCCGTGTGAGGCCCCGACCGCACGGCAGGATTTTCGGCAGCAAACCGTGGGGGGCTCCAGAGGGGGGTCCCTGCAAACGGGGGTCAGCCAAAGGGTCTGCTCCCTCTCCTCCTCCTCCTCCTCCTCCTCCTCCTCCTCCTCCTCCTCCTCCTCCTCCTCCTCCTCCTCCTCCTCCTCCTCCTCCTCCTCCCCCTCCGTTCGGGGCTCAAGAGACGGGGATCAATGCAGTGGATCCTGCAGAGACAGGGGTACATTGACCCGGGCTTGGGTGCAGGATCCTGCAGGATCCTGCAGGGTCTTGCGGGATCCTGCAGCGCCTGGCTGACCCGGGTTTGCATTGACCCAGGTCAGTGCGTCCCCGAACCGTGGGGGCCTCAGGACTCCAAATTTCGCTCTCAAACGTGAGGGGGTCACAGCCCTCCCAGACGAGCAGCTTCCTCCCCCCCCCCCCTGGGACCAGCGATGAAAGGGCGGCCTTTTGCCCAGACCTCGCGGAGCCCGCCAGGACAGCTCAAATCAGACCCCCACAAGAATCAGCACCCCCCATCCAAATATCAAAGTTCGGAGTATCGTTTGACTCGGCTGATTACGCGTAAGAGTGACCTTTCGCTGAAGCGACCTGTGTTTCGGGCACACTGGGGCCCCCATGTGCAGATGGCTGAATGCGATGCGATAGCAGCGGCTTGGGCGTTCGGATTTGGCCTACCCGCGCCCCCCCGGAAAACTGGGCACCAAAGGTCACTCTTGCCCGGGGTCAATTTTGCGTGTAGCCGATGAGCCGAGACAACACTTGGCGACGTCAGTTTACAAGCTTTTATAGTTTGCTCCTCTGCCCCCCTCCCTCCTGCTCCCTCTTCCTGTGCCCGTGTACTTGTGCATTCCGTTGAATTTTGTTTCGCTCAATTTGCCCACGTTTCCGCCACGGACGCACGGCTTCAGCCAGTCAGTCAGTCAGTCAGTCAGTCAGTTAGTCAGCCCACAATCCCACAATCCCACCACCCCAGTTGGGGATATACCCCTCGAAACCCGAAGGGAACAGCCTGTATCCCCAGATGGGGGGATAAATCAGCTAGTGAGGCCCAGGCCACGCCTGTGGGGATAGGGATCGGTTAAACGATGTTCATTGCATGTCCCCGTAATTCTGCCTTTAGAGTGCGCGGGCATGCGCTAGCGTTTGGCAGTCGGGGAAGCGCCGATGTAGCGTCGATGAGCGCCGATGTAGCGTCGCGTCGATTAGCGCCGAGCAGCGTCGATTCGCAAGAGCCAGCTAGATAGCAAGATGGTGTGGTAGGTTCCCGCCGCAGCAGCAGGAGCTCGTGGCGCCGCCCCTGAGCGAGGCGCAGGCTGCCTTGGACAGAGCGCTCTGGAGCGAGGCGACGGCGCTGGTGCGGAGCTCGCTGAAGTCACGGGGCAGGGCTGCCAGGTCCGGGTCTTGCCAGAAGTGGCCCATGGCCCAAGGTCTCCACGGCCTCCAGAGCAACCCTCACGAGGCCCAGGAGGGCCCCAAGGGCTCCAGAGTGGAGCGACAAGCTGGGGGCACCCTTGATTGGCCGATGTCCCACCACCACTACCACAGGTAACACGGGGTAGAGGGGAGGATTGTGAGATCCTCCTTCTCCTCTTCCTCCCCCTCCTCTTTCTCCTCCTCTTTCTCCTCCTCCTCCTCCTCCTCCTCCTCCTCCTCCTCCTCCTCCTCCTCCTCCTCCTCCCCCGTAGCTGTTTTCGCGCAAGATGTCTGCACAGAGGGGGCTCCGCGCCTCCGTGCCTGCTGATACCGCTGTCACCGCGGCAAGCAAGGCAGTTCTGCCTGACAGTGCTTTTCAGCATTCACTGGGGGATTTGGGCTCCCTCACCCGCAGCCCTGCGCCCGCGCACTCTGCAGGTTTCGCCTCGACCGATGGCCACTCATGTTGTCATCCCTGGGACTGCGAAGACGGTCAGGAAGGATACTAGCAAGCCATAAAGTCATGGGACCGTGGCTTCAACTGGTGCTTCTTCTGGCCAGTCTACTGCTCCTGTGCAGCGTATGGACGCCGACTCGGATTCCAACGCGTGCTTCGACGACGATCACATCCGCACCATCTGCTCCGAGGTGGCCTCCCAGCGGCTGGCATCTATGCAGAAATCCGTGAACGACGTTGTGGGCACGTCCGTCAAGTCCGCAGTGGAGAAGGAGTCTGGCAACCAGGCCAAGGCTTTCCAAACCAACATTGGCAAGTGCTTCGAGCAATGCCAACGAGACCTACAAGCCCCTCCTGGCAAGCTGGACCAACATATCCTCTCCGCGGTCACGCCCCAGCTCGACAAGCTGCGCCGCGAAGTCATGGAGCGCTGCGGCGAGCTGAAGTCAGACATTGTCTTGGTGGGCCAGAAGGTTGAGAACCACGCCGCCCTCTTGGCAGAGATGCAGGATCAGATCACCAAGCTGCAGTCAGCCTTGGTGGAGGCTAACTCTGCGCGTCCTGCGCCGAAGAACCCTGGCTGGTGCATCGCAGTTCGGCCGCGACACGGACCCGGCGATCATCAAGCTCGACGCGGGCAAGCTGGTTTCCCGTCAGACTGTCATCGATATTGTCTCACCCGAGTTGGAAGAACACCAGGTTGCTTCTGATAACTGGCCGATCCTGTCGGTCGACCCGCTGTCCAAGCTGTTTACGATGCGTCTCAGCGGCGCCGTCGGCCTCGCCTCTCGTCGCGTTCGCAAGTTACTCTCAAGTCTACGCCTGGGAAATAACACCTGGCGCGAGTTCGCGGCGGGGGCTTGCTCTGGGGGGGTGGCGAAGCTGCGCGTCTCGTGGGGCAAGAACGCGAGGCAGATCAAGATGAAGGTCACTGGCAGGAAGCTGCGCAGTAGGTTGCAAGAGCTGTTCGGCCGTGAGCAGAAGATCTTCCTGGACAGGGATCGCGGCTGGCTCTCGTTGTGCTGGGGCGCTCTGCGCAGGATCGAGGTCTTCCCATGTCGCGAGGCTACGAAGACCTTGTGGAACCCAGGTGCCCCCGCCGAGTACGTGGCGCAGAAGTCGGCGCTCACCAAGGCGACGCAGGAGATCATCCAGCCCGATCGTGAGCCTGAGTTGTGCCTTTAGCAAAGTCTTGGCCTTGCTCCTCGGCCGATCGCAAGTGCCATTTTTGTGATTCCTCCACGTCTGAAGGACTGCGCTTCTGTACTTGGAAAACTCGAACCCTCTTGCAGTACGAGGGCGCCCACGCGGATGTGAAATTGTGGTACCTCCAAAAGCTCCGGCTGGGCTCTTCAGCCACTGATTTGCAGGAGGCTCATCAGTGCGAGGCGCAGCTGGCCTCGCTGATGAGGCGCGTCTTGCCAGGTGCTCTGATTTTTGCCGAGTCTGTGGCGAGGGCCGAGCGGGGCGAATGCGTGGTGGGGCTGCTGCGATCGCCCCAGGGCGCTCTGTCCCTGGTCAGCGTTCCCCCCCCCCTCACCCGGCGTCGCCCGCGCCCCTCTTCCATTCATTCCAGACCAGGTGCTGCGAGGGTTTTTTGTTGCAAGCACCGATGCCAAACTCATTCGCTAGAACGTGCACAATCATGACTTTTCCTCGGATCAAGGGATGTGTGTAGCCATATCGAGCGGGATCGGACGTTGGCTGAATCGTATCCCGAAGCAGTCTTGCTCGTGGCGCGCGCCGGTTTTAACTTTACGAGCGAGGAAAAAACTGAGCTTCGCGCGGCCGTCGGGGGCCCGAAGGATTGCGAGACCCCATCGCGCTCAGGCCCCGCGCTGGCCCTCTACCCCGTGTAAGCCAGTGGAAGTATCAGCTGCTGCAGCGGCGCGCTGCGACGTGCGAGCCGATGCTCTTGCCGCTCTCGATCGTTTCTGGCGCTCTTGGCCAGGTTGGGCGTTGACGCAGGTCTTCGCTAGCGCCCGAGTTGAGGGCCCCCCTGAAGCACTGCATCATTCTAAAGTCAGTGACCATGCTGCCCTCGCCATCGCCATGCGTCAGCGGGAGCCCCGGGCCCCGTCGGAGCGCCCCATGCGCAAGCAAGCATGCGCATCGTCGGTCTACAAGCAGGTTCTAGCGAAGTTCATAGAGATCGAAGCAGAGTCGCCGATGCAAATGCGCCCACCCACCCCCCGGACGACTGGCCAAGGGGTAAATTCCTCATGCAGGAGGCGACCCGCGAAGCGAGAGACTTGCTGATGTTCGGGCGCCCGCCGGGCCCAGGAACTCTGCCACTTCGCGCGCAAGCCCTTGCCCGAGCTGTCTGGCGCAAGACGTGCGCGCAGCTGTCCGTCCTCTTGGCCCCGTGCTGCCGCTGCTGGTTTTGTCCGCGCCGATGGACATCGCGTTTCTCCTCTGCGCCCGGCCTCGTTCCAGCGGCGGGCGAACGAAGTGCAATTTCGAGTTGCGAACCTCGATCGCGCTGCTACTCGGGCTCGTCTTCAGGGGGCTGAAGGAGAAGGGGGGGGCAGGAAGAGAGGCAACAACTTCAGGCTATCGAGAGGAGGGCATGGGCGCAGGCTCCGTTCGCACGTCGCCGTGCTCTTTCGGCCGCGGCCGTGCAGGGGCAGGAGGTGGAGGACAAATGACAGACAAGTTCAACGCGCTGGCCTCTCATAGGGGCCCAATATTTCCCTCGCGCTCCCTGGGCGGAGAAAATTGCTGAGACCTATTGCGATCGATTCGCGAAGTCTCTACCTCGAGGGGGGCGTCGCGTTCCAAGCCCTCTCGCCGAAGGGGGAGGTTAGCGCGGGCGCGAGGGGGGGCGAGCGCGAGCGAGATGCTTCTGCAGCGCGAGTTCATGGGGCGCGCGATGCCAGTATTAAATTTCTGACGGCGGCGGCGAATGTTGTCATCCAGCGACCTTCTAGCTAAATTCGTTCCTGCTGACGAGCGTGGCTTCATGAAAGGTCGAAGCTTCTGCGCGAACATCTTAGAGGTTGATGCGCTCTCTCGCGTCCACTCGTCTGCCCCAGAAGTTGATCATCGTTGCTCAGTGCTGTGCTCGCTGGACTATGGACATGCGTTCCCGAGCTTGTCGCTGGAGTTCGCGCCCCCCGCGCTGTCGCGGATGGAATGTCCAATGCCGCCGCCGCGCTGTGCAGCGACGCTTTATGATTGTATCCAGGGGGGCGATGTCGGCCCAGGGCCTGCTGATCCGCCTGTTCTGGATTCGGCCTGGGATCGCCCAGGGGTTTGCGCTCTATCAGCCTCGCTTTTCGCTGCTGCTCTTCCGCCGGCGCCATTGGGCCTCCGCCGCAGCTTCGAGACCCCGCTGCTGGGGATCAACCGCGCCTGCACCGCCGACGACCTTGGCCAGGCTTTACAGGACTTGCGCTTGTTGCTGCAGCTGCGACGGGTGATGACAGCGGTTGAAACCAATGCTCGCCTCCACCTCATGGCCCACAAATGCGCGATCACACCCGCGTCAGGCCCCTTCGCCCCCGAGCTGAAAGCCCGAGTTCAGAAGTCCTTGATCACTATCACCCCCGGGTGGTCCACATTCAGAGGTGAGCCCGCGCTGTTCTACCCCGGGGTCTGGATCGGCCCGACTACGGAGCTTTCTGATTATTGGACCCTGCCCCGGATGAAGTATAAGTCTGGGGCTGTTGCCGTGGGTGCTGGAGACGCACCTGCCTCGTTGTCGTCAGCGTTGCACAGTGCGCGCTCCACGGCGGTCTTGAGCTATGCGATGCAGTTGTTACCTTTGCCGACGGAGGTGAGAGATGCTGAGAAAGGCGCTCTGGCGCAAGCTTTCCGACTGCCTCTCGGCGCGTTTGGAGCTAGGGACTGGGCGCTGCTCTGCTGGAAGATTGGAGCGGCCCCAGGGTTTGCCGCCTCGAGATCCTCAGGGTCGCGTCTATAGCTCGGACTGCTATTTCGGCATTGCCCGACTACCATCGCATATATCGTTGGCTCGTGAGAGTGACTGACACGCCGCAGTCCCAGCAGCTTGACGAGTGCCGCTTGACTGTTGTGCCGTCAGGCCGCCGATATCTGCCGCACTGGAATTGCAAGGCCTGCGCACGCTGCTGCTGCCCGAGCTTGCCGACAAAACCCAGTGAAACCCCAGCGTCGCGCCAAACTCGCCTGTCTCGCCTGCTGGCCTCAGTCCGCCCTGTCTGACATGTACTCGCGTCGTCTTCTGAAATCGTGGCCCGATCGGGCCCAAACGATCGCCTCCTCCGATTGGGGCGCTAGCCGTGGGCTTTTGAGAGCCGTCCCTCCAATCTGGTCCTGGGCCTGGCATCGGACGATGAGTGGAGGTTGGTCGACGTCGCATCGGATTCTGAATGAGCGAGGCCGTGTAAGGTGCATCTTTGGGTGCGGGCAGGAACTAGATCGACAGCATTATTATGCGTCATGTCCTTGGCTCGGCATGTCGATTTCGACCGCTCTTAGGTATCGTTGGTTGTCGCCCGATCCGCTCGAAAGATGGGGAATCCCAGGTTGCATCATCCAGATCCTTGAGGAAGTGTTTATCTACCACTCCCTCCGCCATCTTTCTCTCTCCACTCTCTCTCGAATCCAATTCGAAAGATTGACGCTGCGTACGCTGCCCTGCGGGAGCTGCACCTGGCGACGCCGACTGTTCAGGCGCGCCGCCCTGGGCAAGTAGGATAAGGGACGTCATCGTCGTCGTCGTTGTACGTCGGCCTCCTCCTCCTCCTCTTCCTCCTCGTCCTCCTCGTCCTCCTCCTCCTCCTCCTCCTCCTCCTCCTCCTCCTCCTCCTCCTCCTCCTCCTCCTCCTCCTCCTCCTCCTCCTCCTCCCCCCCCTCCTATCTATGGTGGCGGTGGTGGAACATCGGCCCATCAGCCCTGGGCCACCGGGGCACCCGCAGCACCCCCTGCCGCAGAGGTGCATCCAGCGGGCCTTCCGGGCCCGCGCGGCCCACCGCGCCGACGGGCCGGCGGCGCCCTCTCCCTCCGGGGAGGCCCCGAGCATCCCGTCATCCGCCGGAGCAGCGCGGGCGCCGTCTGGGGGAACGAAGAATAACATAATCATAGAAGCTCGAAGGTCCGCGCGAACCCCCGAGTTTTTATGTTTATGTCGTCCTTCGCTCCCCTACCCTCGGACCTTGGCGCGGCGCGCGCGGCGACCCCTCTGTGCGAGAGCAGCGCCTCGTCCGACGGCGCGGCTTTCCGGTCGCAGCATAGCTGGGCAGGGAGGTCGAGGAGCCGAGTCCTCGCCCTCCCCTCCTCGTCCTCGTCTTCGCCCCCCCCATCCTCGCGACGTTTCGTGGCCCTGTTCCGCCTCCTCTTTTGCTCTTCTCCCCTTGTTCTTCTGCCTTATCCTCCCCTTCCTGCCCACCCATCACCCTCCGCACCCGCATGCGTTTCCTCTCCCTCCTTGTCCTTACCCCCCTCCGCTTCCGCCTCACATGTCTCCTCGTCCTTCGGTCCCGCTCCGCCACATCGTCCTCGCTCAAGTCGTCGTCCTCGTCCTCATCCTCCTCCTCCTCCTCTTCTACCTTTCCCTTCTCTGGGCGCCTTTTATCCGCCTTTCCTACCACGCTCAGTATTACATTGGCCCGCCGGTGCCGAAAGTATGGGGCGCCCTGGGCAGCGTGTGCAATGCAGCAACATAGTTGGTATACCACCACGCTCTTCTGCACAGTTCAATCGTTTCAGCCTGGGCTTCCATGCTGTAGTTCAGTTTGGTGGGTGCAAGCTCAGCTTTCTATTTGACCGTGGAGAGTCTAAGCACTGCGAGTGACGCCTGTGCAGCCACTACGAATTAGTTCTGGGCTCTTTTCCTGATTGAGCGCACGGCAGGCTATCCCTCGGCGGGTGTATGCCGTTCGACGTCGACCAGCGTCAGCTCCAGATCGTCGATGTCTCCGACTATCGTGCGTCTGATCCTTGAGCGTGCACATAACGAGGGGTGAAGCAAGGCTTGGCCTCCAGCCCCTGCGAGCCAAGAGTCCCTGTGCGTCCAGATTCTAGCCTGAGTGTGCTGCTGATATTTTCCATCAGCTGTTAAACAGTCGTCAAATTAGATTGGCGCGTGCTCTTCCTGTTCGACCAGCGTGGGCACACGCTCTCCAAATATTACGCCGTCGACTTGTGCCGGCTTTGCTGCGGGAGTTCATGCGTGCCGCTGACCCTGGTTTCTGCAGGTTTGACCATCGAGATAGGGAACCACCAGTTTCGCCGACAGCTGGTTTCGCTTGGCTGGCTATTTTCGCTCGGTTGTTTTTCGCCGACGGCTGGTTTCGCCGATTCTGTTTTCGCACAGGTGACTTCGCCGACGCGCCAGCTCTTGTTTCGCCCGGTTTCGTCGACCGCTCGCGCGCGGGCAAGCCCGCACGCCCGCTTCCGTGTCCCGCCCGCATCCGCCCGCCGCTTCAGGGTCACCGCCGCCCGACCCGCCCGTGAGGACCCCGCCCGCCCGACCCGCCCGTCGGCGAAACTCCAGCGAAACCAGCCGTCAACGAATGACGTCGTTGCGTAACGTTTTGTGCACGTTGAGCTACATTGTGCAACGTCATGTCATGCAATGATATGCGATTGGCGCCACGCTAAACATCACGACGCCTTGCTGTATCGACATGATATGCTATTGCATGCTTTGCTTGGCTCGTTTGTGTTGTACCGCGTGATGCTAGTAGCTATTCAATGCTACACTTATGTATGCCCTGTTACCACTGCTATACTATGCCATGCAATGTCGTGCCATGCCGCGCTACGCGATGCGATGCGATGCAGCTATGGTACATCAGGCACGTCAAACTTACACTTGCCTGTCAGCAGGTCCCCCACAGAGGCCTTGGGGACGGGGCGCTCACAGAGGCTTCAGGACGCTTTAAGAAGTTCAAAGCAAGGTCCAAAACAGCTCCGCCATTCAAATTGCGAAAGCAAGCTGTATCATCGTATGTTGATGCTTGATGCCCTGGTGTGTTGGGCGATGATCTGTTCTGCATTGCTCGGCGATGCGCTGCACTAAGCCGCATGCCATTGCATTGCATGTCGCATGTATGCCTTCAGAAGACTTGGCATCGCTCGGACGTGTGTGCATTTTTTCTCGGCGAGGACCATCGAGGAGCATCTTGGACCACCTTGCGGCAAAAGAACTCACAACACCGAAATGTGCACAGTGAACGGACGTTCGAGCCGTGGCAATCAGAAGGGTGCCTCTAATTGGCGGCGCGCGCAAGGGGGTAGGGGGGGCGAAGGCTCCTTAGGCGGAGGGCGCCTCTTGGAAGGCGCCGGCCTTACATCTACAGAGAAGGCCCGCGCCTTTAAGAAGCAGGGATGCTTCTTAGAAGCCTTCCACCCTCCCCCTGCCCCCCTCGGCGCGTGGCCTATCTAATTCAGCTCGCTTCGAGTTCACTCGGGCGCATCCCGCCACCCTTCGCCTGTTCGATCTGCGAACCTCCCCGCCGTGTGCGGCCGCCCGCGGCATGCAGCACGCGGCTGCGGCCGCGCTCGGACATTTGTTTTGGAGACGCCACCCGCGTAAGACAGGACTCGTGAACACGGACGCGGCACTGCAAGGGTGGGGAGTGGAGTTGTGCGGGTCTCAGGGCTGCTCAGGGCTACGGGGCCCCTTCTCGGGGAGGAGGAGGAGGAGGAGGAGGAGGAGGAGGAGGAGGAGGAGGAGGAGAGCTTGCGCTGGCCCACCCCCCTTCTGCTCTCCCGCCCCAGGAGCGCCAGCCTGCGGGCCGGCACCCAGACGCCGGCGACCTTGGACTGCTAGAAATGATCGGGGAGAAGACTCGGGCACGCCGGAACTTGGGCTTGCTGGCGCACTGTGCCGGGCCCGCCCTGGGAGGAGGAGGAGGAAGAGGAGGAGGAGGAGGAGGAGGAGGAGGAGGAGTTGGATGAGTAGGAGGAGCAGGAGGAGGATTCTTGACGGTCCAGCTCTCCTGGGATGCTTGCAGCGGGAGCTCGCGTCCGATCTAAGATCGGGCCTCGCCTTTTTTCCTGACGGGCCCTCGGAGGTCCGCGCGGAGTGCTCGGAGCGGCGCTGGACCCCCCCCTCCCTGGCGCGCGGAGCGCGCCAGGGGCGGCGCCGGCGGCGCCGCCAGGGGTGTGCAGCACGGATCCGAGAACTCCGCGCGGACCTCCGAGATGTTCTGCTTATGCCTTTCCTCCTTCCCCGAAGGTCGGGCCTCGCCCTCGTCCTGACGGACCCTCCGGCCAACCCGAGCCCCCCGAGCCCGAGTCTTGCGCCTCCCCGAAAGAGCGGGGCGGGGTAGCCCGGGCGCGCGGCGCGGTGCGGTGAGCAGGCCCCTCGTCCTCCCTGCGGCCGCCGGCTGCTGCTCGGCTGCCCCGTCTCGGCCTTTCTGAGAGGGAGGAGGCAGACAGAGGCCCCCTGACGCTTCCGGCGGCGGTCCCCTGACGCAGACAAGAGGGATGACAGAGGCCCCCTGACGCAGGCAGAGGCCCCCTGAGGCAGACAGAGGCCCCCTGACGCAGACACGAGCGCGTCGTAAAACAAAAAATCAGGACGGCAAGTCGTTCGCTGTGTTTGGCCCTGGAGGGCCCTCGCTGGGTCCCCGGGGCCCACAAGGAGCGACTCGGGATGAAAAACCGGACTCGGGGAAAGGGTCTGGACTTCCAGGAACGCCGTCCTGAAGAAACCAGGACGTCGCATGCCTGGGGCGGAAAGAGGCCCCCTCGGATGTCTCCAGAGGCTGGCCCTGGATGCTGGTCTCTCGAGACTCGACCCTCCCCCTCCCATGGTTTCTTTTTCCGAGGAGCCCAGCTTCCAGTTTCAACCGCTTGATTGAGTGCGTACCAGAAGAATGCATTATCTTGTTCGCGCCAGCCGAAGCATGCGATTGTGTCTCGAATGCTTTTCACGCAGTCGTCCATTGCTGCTCCGATGTAGTCTTGGTGAGTGAGTCCGGTGTTCCCACTGGAACCGAAAGAGGCTTTTCGGGCCTGCCTCGGACCTCCCGCAGCCTAAGTCGGCCACGCGCAGTGGGGGGAGTGGGGAGGGCGTCTTAGAAGCATCCCTGCTTCCTAGAAGGCAGGCCTCATGTATAGATGTAATGCCGGCGACTTCTAAGAAGCAGCCTTCGTCTAAGAAGCCTTCCCCCCTCCCTCCACACCCTTGTGCCTTGGCATCGCTCGGAACGTGTGCAGTTCTTGTCGGCGGGGGCCATCGAGGAGCATCTTGGGTGGTCCTGCGGAAAAATCAGCGCACGAAACCGAGCAATGCACGAGGTCAAGCAGAGGCGAAGCGTCCTGGCTCGCCTATAGCCCTACCAAACAATGTTCCAAGAACCTGTTGTGGTTTCCACGAAATGTTCTTAGAACATTTCTGGCGGAGTCTGTCTTGTTTGAACACATCGGGTTAATGTTCTAATAACATTGCTTTCGTTCTGAGAACATTTTGGGGTTCTGAGAAAACTTCGTTGTAGGACTATAGGCTATAGGAATGCCTGGACGGTCGGTCCCTGCTCCACGAGGACTGGGAGTCCGAGCGATGGCGAGTGTGCGCGCCGCCATCTTGGCCCCGCGCCGCCCCGCCGCGCGGCTACCCCGCCCGCCGGGCGAGCGGTCCCGCTGCGAGGGGCGCGCTGGCCCGGGGGAGACGCGGAAGAGCTCGCCGTCGCCGCCAGCAGCGCGCGTTGCTTGCCTGCCGCTCGCGCGCGCTCCTCCTCAGAGCCCCGAGATCATCAGGGCTGCATTTGGTGCATTACCAATCTCAACCACTTTTAGCTGGCGACGCGTTTCGGACTCTAGGTCCTCTTCTGGGCCAAAAGGCTGCGGTGTCCCACGCGCGTGCCGTGCAGCGCGCGAGCAAGGCAGCAAGAGGTCAAGAGTGCGGGGGTGA